TGCGTAGAGAAAGGGGTGGGGGGGGTGGGGGGTGCTTATAGTAGAACTGAAAGAAACATGAATAAAAAAATAAAAGTTCTTACTTGGTTTTCAATGGGCAGCACACAGTCTGCATGTTCAGTAAGCTCCTTCATGGCTAAAACACTGTTGTAGGGTGATGTGATAACATCATCTTCAGCTGATGGGTAGACAGAGGTGACAAACCTGTACACTTCAGGAAATTCATCCTCAAGTACACTCAGTACAAATGTACCTAAACCAGATCCTGTTCCTGCGGCAGACAAAGAATTTAAGCAACTGAATTAGTAATCTGAGGATTCTTTACAACTTTACTGCTATTATATGGCTAGGGCTCTGTTATTGCTTTAAACCATTTAAAACAAATGGTGTGGCTTTACAAATATAAGGTACCCTATGCATATACTGTAGTGACAATTTTCTAACATTAAAGTGCAGTTTCTGAAATTGCTCACATTAAAGTGGCCATACACGAAGAGATCATGTTCCATGATATGACAGATTGTGTGATCAATTGTCCAGGTATGGCATTTGAACATCAGCATTGCTGGTGATAGAGCAAGCTGGAATTTTTACGCTTATGAACTTGGTTGGCGTGTGCTGGATAGTGGATATGCATGTTTAGTGAACAGAAAATCGTATGGGATCTAATTAACCTGCTGGTGCATGATCATATATCATTTCTATAATTAATATTCTTCTTACCTCCTCCCATGGAATGAATCACAAAAAAACACTGTAGGCAATCGCACTGTTCTGCTGTCCGTCGCAAATTCTCTACGATTTGTTCCCGGTACCGAGAGCCATATAACTTGTGACCAACCGCCCTACATATACAAATTAATAGCTATGTATCTTCAGGGATCATTGTGATCATTAGGATTTTTTTAAATTCGGAAATGCTTATGACTTTTTAGAACAATATTTGCAATATGTAACAATATTTTTTTTAAACCATACTGCATAGTTCACAGCACATGTTATCTTAAACTGCAATGACGGCTCTCATCTCGCCTTAAAGTAGACGTAAACTAACTGGATGACATTTAGTTTGCTAAAAAGATGTGTGTCATAAACAATTGGCATGTATATTTTTTTTCTATATTTCTCATCTCATAGCTGTTGATCACCACTTCCTGCCCACGCGCTAGTGACGGCTGCATGTCATTGATCAGAGCAGGTTTTTGTTAGCCACAACGGCAGAACACGCCTGGGCAATGGGCATGACAGCTTATAGTCTCCACAGAAAAGCACATGCTAGAGGGTGACAAAGCAAAAGAGTAAAGGTGCCCATACACCTTACAACCAAGGTTGTAAGCTAATTAAAAGCTTGTATGATCTGCCCATCTTGGACAGGCAGATCGTACTTGCGATCATCGAAGGCCCGTCCCGCTGAGGTTTTCAAGCCTGCTCGTAAGACAAAAGACGTGCGACCGTACAGTAGAAACTGTCGCACGCCTTCCATACACCTTGCGATTATCGTACGATCGCGGGACTTCCCGCGATTATCGTACGATAATCGCAAGGTGTATGGGCACCTTAACTGAGAGACAAAGTTTTGTCACCCAATAAAAAGGTAGTGTCTGAAACGGAATCTGAAGGACCGCACTTGCAGGATTGGCAGGTGTTACTAATGAAAGCTGCAGCAAAAAAGCTCAAATAACTTTTTGAATTTACATTAACCTTTTAAAGATCGTATGAAATTTCAGAGACTGGAGTTCATAGAAATGTAAAAACTTTAATTTTTATAAACCCAGTGGTGCGTGATGCCAATCACCTGATGCCCGGGCTCCACGCAGGTGGGGTTTTTTTTTCCACACTTAGCCCTGCTGTTGGCAAGTAAGGCTAAGTGTAGAGCACCACTCACTTTGTACAAGTGATCTGGGCGGCTATGCAGTCCCGTCCCCTCCTTGGTTTTCGAGGTCCCCCACTCTTCTGGTCGACCCAGGACCACAACAAAATGATTTCATCATGGAGTGCGGGGAGCAGACTGGAGAACATCTGTTCTCAGAACTGCTCCGTGTGATCAGTGAGACAGGAGCGCTGTACTCACAGCGCTTCCTATCTCAGCTGTCACATGCTGGGCAGCACCGGAGATCGAGCTGTGCTGACTGCACTGAATAATGAGAAGCGCTTCTTAGCGCGGTTTAATACGGTTTGGGATTATTTTTTTGTATCGTGACAAGTAGAATGTCATGAGGGACAAGTAGATTGGGCCTCTGCTTTAATCCCTGGACAAGTCATTTTTTTTTTTTTATTCCACACCCGTGCTCGATGCTAAAAATATTTTGTTTAACATGACCGTGTAATTTCTGTAAATGACCATTTCAAATGAGGTTTATACTTAGAAAGAATTGTCTAATCTTTTTAATACAATAAGCTTTAAGACTGCAAGCTCTCACAAGCAGGGCCCCCTCACGCTCTTGCATTCCATTCCATTGTATTGTAACTGTACTTTCTCCTTTTATTCTGTGAATCGCTGCACAAACCAATAGTACTATATAAATCCTGTATAATAATAATAATAATATTATAAGATAAGCAACATTAAAATATCATAATATAATCAATGCAAACTCTGCCTGCTTTCAGGTACAGGAGATATAGAGATGTCTGCGACAGCTGATTTTGCAGACAGGCAAATACAGATCCCGTGCTGAAAGTCTGCTGGAAACAATGCCAAATTAAGCTGACAGCCAAGTGTGGCTCCCAGACCACCGTTTGTGGACCACTAATCTACAGATATGGGCACAGAGTTAAGGTCTTACCAATTGTTTCCTGATCCTGATACATCAGTAACAAGCTGCTTGCTGTCAAAAAGATCTCGAAGAGGTCCTTGTAATATCTCATTTACAACACCTTCTTCCATATCTATCAAGACAGCCTGGGGGAAAAAAAAAAAAAAAAGCACATTTACCATGATACTGAGAACTGTACTTACAGGAACTAGGCAAAGCAAAATAATGCTGTTTGTTGTGTGTGTTTGTGAGGGACTTCTAATATTGTAATGCTGTCATTAGGCATTTGATTTAGGAATGTAAAAGAAAACAAACTTCAAATATGTAGAAAGCAGCTCTTGAGCCTAATTAGCATAATAAGGCAGCCTAAAAGTCAGTGAGAGTTCAGTAACCCACATGAACCAGATCCTACCAATTGGCACTAGTTATAGTCACTGGTCCCGTTGTTACAGTACACTAAAATGTCTGTATGTGTTTGTGTAGGGAAGGGCGGTTCCAGGGATCATACAGCTAAGGTTCCTTCCTATTCCATCATCAAGGAATGCTTGGTAAGCCTTATAAATATTTACCAAATAACCCTGTTTTGATGATGCTGAAGCGTACGGAACCTTAAAGTGGGTCTGTGGTAAAAGGCAGTGAAAGGCTACCAGATGATGCTGGAGTGCCTGCTAATTTCCCCTCCTTCTCAGAGATGCTGTTCATTGTAATTTTCAGCCAATAAGGAGGCAAGGAAGTGGGGAGGGACTGGCTATGCACAACCACCAAGTCTCGTGTCGATGTTTGCATAAACATGCTACTGCAACTAGCACTTCAACCAGTCTGTCTCCTTAAATAGGCCTTTCTCTGTGTAGCCCATTATGCATATTTTCAGTCAGTAGCCTAAACAACCTTAAGCAGCCAAATCACCTAAAAAGTTGCTAATTTAGAAAAATGGAAATATTCATTACAGATTGCGCTTACATAGTATTAAAAGTAACTAAGAAAAAAAGTCTAAGAATTAAGTCAGGGGTGGACAAATTAATAAGGAATTCAGGAATAAGTCCACCCAATACAGGAGCCAGCAGGATTTTTTTGACTACAGAAAACTTCAAACGTTAGGAGTCAGCTAGTTTGCAAAAGTTTGAAGATGCATTGGTTACCTGCCTCCTGGGACTTTCCCAGCCCTCCCGACGTAGTCGCGCAAAGACGTAACGTATGTACGGCTGAGCATTTGACGTCACTCTTCTCAGCTGAGCCGTACGGACAGGGGTCCCAATGCACCCATAGATTTGTACTGTAGTGTCCATTGGATATTTGTCACCTGTGACATTGCGAGTACCTGCTTTTATTCAATAAATTGTATTTTTTGGACGATATGCACTATGTCCTCTTTATCTTTTGTCTTCCTTTGAAATTATGTTATTTGCGAGCTGAGGAGGTTATCTGGTCTTCAGTCATATGGGCTTCCCTCCCCTATTAAGAAGGGAAATGCGCTTTGAGACCTAGTTCTGTGGGTCTATCTCCCCAGGTGAGCACCATTCCAATTTCTGCATTCACTGGGTGGAGGTGAAAGTCTGTCAGGATTCTGTGGCAACTGCTTACTTGGAAGTTTGGATCTATCTAGTGGTGGACATCCCCTGCATTTATTTGAACGATTGTAATTGTTGCACATTGGACTTTGTGTTTATCACTCTGTTCAAATTTTTTCATGTTTTGATATGCTCTTTTGCATAGATTTTTTAAAGTATATACTCATATATCTTATCGTTATATCACATATTTCACTGAATTGTATATATTTATTCAGCTAGGCACATGATTGTCATACCTGAATTAGGCCACGCTATTCAAAAAAACAAAACCCCCCACCCCCCCAAAAAAAACAGGTGCTTATCCACTTGCTGTCCGCTGTGTTAAACCTCGTTCCTGTCCAGGCCATTTTTCAGTATTCAGCGCTGCGGTACTTTGACTGACATTTATTCCGTCATGCAATGCTGTACTGAGTTGTACTGGGTTGCTCATCACTTGGAAATATTTGTAATAAATTAGATTCTATGATATCGATGGATGTTTTTTGTGATAAGCAGGACAGAAGCTACATTATTCTTCAGCAGTCATAACAGCACTGGTACTTTTAGAGATGTCAATTCAGGATGCAATCAGTATCATTTGTCTTACCCGTGCTTTAAGTGAGCGAATCTTCCCTTTCTGAACATCTGGTCTGCCAGTTTCAGCTCTAGAAAACAAAGGGAGTTTTTTTTATTTTATTACAATATATAAACAGCTCTCCTATTCGCAGAAAAATGACTGTATCTAGTGGTAGTTAGTCACATTCAAATGGACTTCTGTAATGTTGAAAACTTTTGGTAGCTCATTGGCTTAGTGGTTAGTACATCTGCCGGTCCCAGGTTTGAATTCTGGTCTGGTTACTATCTGCAAGGAGTTTGCATGTTCTCCCTGTGCTTGCGTGGGTTTTCATTTGGGTACTCTGGTTTCCTCCCACACTCCAAAAGACATACAGGAAGGTTAATTGGCTCCTGTCAAAATTGGCCCTGTATGCATGCATGCATGTGAGATAGGGACCTTAGACTGTAAGCTCCTTCAGGGCAGGAACTGATGTGAATGTACAGTATGTAAAGTAAATTCGCATATAAACACCTATAATAATAGGGCACTATATAAACACCTATAATAATAGGGCGCTATATAAACACCTATAATAATAGGGCGCTATATAAACACCTATAATAATAGGGCGCTATATAAACACCTATAATAATAGGGCGCTATATAAACAAATGTAAGAAATTCCAACTACCACTAGATATACCAAGACAGCAAAATGGTACAAGCACACAAGTACCTAAAGTGTATTTTCACCTATAACTTTTGCTCTTAGAATTAAAAAAGTCCTCCAAGAAAACAGCTTTGCTTCATATCACAATATCTCCACTCGCACTCCATTATATTAAAGTAAATGCTGTTTATTGACTGAGATAACATACATCTCCTTAGCGACGTTTCGAGACAATGCGGTCCCGTCCTCAGGCAAACAGATGTTATGATTCAGCCTGCACTTCGGTCTTTGTTTATGTTATTTACAGGGTGGATTGATGGGGCTAGTAGTTTACATAATAGCAATTAGGTTATTTGTGCTTTCTGTTATGCTCAGAGCATATGACAAGGACACTGCATTTCTGGCAAGATCAACAGGTATTTCATGTGCTTGCTGAAAAATGTTATTAGCCTGAAAAGCAAAAAGAAATGCAGCCACCGCATCTAAAGACTGCTAAGCTGCAATTATACTTTATTTTTGATTATGGGTTTAGATACTTTTATGAATGACTGTATTCTCTATAGGAATAGCGAGAACAAAATACCAGTGTGCTGCCATATTAGCCTTTATTTTGTGTACTCTTGGTTTGTTCAATGCTTCCCACCGCATATTTTGCTTCTAGTTAGTACAGTTCCTAGTTTAACACTTCCTGTTTCCTTATGCTGTACAGATAGCCCTGTCCTTGCAGTGGAAAGATAAACTAAGAAAATTCGTCTTTTTACATTTCAAAGACTGGAAAAACATCTTTTGTATTGCACTCAACAGTAACACTACATTCAATTAAATTTCTGTGTTCTTATAAAAAAGAGTTAAGCTGCTTGTGGATATTGCCAAGTTACCAAGTAGGCATACTATCTGCACAGACAAGGTCTAGAAGGTACTGTATGTCATTGCACACATCAGCATTTGGAATATAACAGCCAGACTGTGATTAGCCAAATTTTCCTGCCTTTTTCATTATTTTGTGTAGAAATGCAACAACTAAAATGCTGCATCTTTTGAGCCTTTTTACATAAATTTGCCTGTACTGATTCACGTACAAGGGTTGTTAATAAAGGAAAAGGATAAATATGCAAGGGTTTTATCATTTTAATCAGAAAAAGGGATGACTGTTATGAGAGTGGCATAGTTAGGCGTCATTATTTTCTGAAGCACTACTTCTTCTTCATTAATCACGCAGAAGAAAACTACCAACTCTCATGTCTCCTTTTGCCTAAATGGAAGCTATAACAATGGGTAGCACTGCAAAGCAACATCATTCAAATGTTTATATCACTTTACATACATTGCTACAGATGTTATAAGGAGATCTTTCACACAATTGCAAATAATAGAGGTGCACTGAAATGGAAATTTCAAAACCGAAATAAAAAAAAATGTCAGGCCGAAACTGGAAAAAAAATTTTATTTACATATTTTCAAATACTTTTAATTTTTTTTATATTCATTAATTTTTTATTAAATATTTGTATTTTTTACTTTTAGGGGCTTTGGGGAAATATTAGGGGTCTAAACACCAAAGCCCTGATATTTCCATTTTAAAATAGAAAGAGATTGAGAACACGAGTCCTCAATCTCTTTTTCTGTATCCCCTGTTATCAATGAAAAGGAATCCTCTATACTGAGTGTTCCTGTTCATTCAGAGCTTGGACATAGTATGTTTACTATAACCACAATCATGAATGAACAGGAGGTGATGTAGATCACTTCCCATTCATTCATAATTGAGGATATAGTAACCATACCATGTCTTAAATTATCTACAAACACTCAGCGATCACTGATCCCTCAGTGTTTGCACTCGATCTCCATCCTGAAAGCTGTCACAGGAGGCTGGGCGAGCGGTGCAGAGAGGAGAGCTCAGCCTACTGTGACAGCGCGGGCTGTCTCTGCCCACACACCGCTCTGCCGGACTGTGCCAGGAGGCTGAGCGGTGTGGGAGGGGAGATGCCGGCCGCTCACATCGCTCTCCTCTCGCAGCGGGACACAGAGCAGCGCCCAGCAGGGAGGGAAGAAAGCAAGGATGCACCGCTATATCGACAGAAAAATGGTACTTTCGGCATTTAGCCAAAAGTGCAATTTTCAGGCGATATGTTTCGGTGGCTGATATATCAGTGCATCCTTAGTAAATAACAATCTTTTTAAACCGGTTAGTGAAAAAAATATGGGAGCTGCCACTGCTGACCTCCTTTTAAAAATGTTTTCGAGCCATTGACCTGGAAAAAAACTATGCAGATTGACATAGCTGGGGAAAAAGTCAGAAGTTATTTTCTGTATACATGTTCCCAGTCAGTGATTTAACCCTTCCCAAACGCAATTTGTTTATGAACGTGTGTTATAAATACAAAACAGGATAAAATGACAAAATGAGCAGCCAGCTCGGGTATCAGCCACTAGTTCTGTGACAGCAGTGTGTCCGACAGTGGAACCAATCAGCATGGTTCCTGATAATGTAATCAGTATGACAGCGAACCATAGTGATCACAAGGCAATGATTACAAAACATGTTGGGCAGGCCAGCTGAACCGTCATTGTTCCTTGCACAGAAAGAGGAACTTTGACAGAAGCTGCTGACCAAATGGGTCTATTAAAAGGGAAACATAAAATAATAAATGGGGATGCACCGAAATTTCAGCCACGAAAACATTTCGGCTGAAAATGGTACTATGGGCAAAATGCCGATACTACAAAATTCGGTCCTTCTGTTCCTCCCACTGGGAGTCGGCTGAAAGCTTCAGTCTATGTCCCCTCCGATCCCCGCTGCTCTCCCTAGCCTGTGTCAGCAGAGGCAGTGGGGTTTGGAGGGGACACAGCCGATCCAGCTGACGGCACCCAGCAGGGAGAAGAGAAGCTGTCAAGAGGCCGAGCGGGGTGGAAAGCTCTGGCGGGAGGAGGCAAAGCTACGGGGTTTACCAATCCTTCGCTGTGCTGAGCAACCACTGAGTGATCAGCACAACGAAGGATTGGTACACCCCGTAGCTTTGACGCAATTATGCTTCTTTCATAATATGGCCAGGGAGATTTATTATCAGTGAAAAGGTCTTGGTCGGTTTTGTAACCTAGTGAAAGCTTTAGGACTATTGTTCAAGGGACCATTTACAACAATGCATTAATTGCAGCACATGTGGTAGCTCACACATGTAGGTGTGAACGACCCAAGATAGTTCCCCCTTCAAAAAACACACTAAAGTGTAGCCCACAGATGTGAAACAGCCACTTAGGAAAGAACGGGATTTCTATTTGAAACACATCTTCATTCATCTGTTTATCTACAGGAAAATGTACAAGCTTGAACAGACACTAATATTGGCCACGTGCGTAAGATCAAAACTACCTGATCCACCTGAGCCTGATGTTGGAAGGTCTATAAGTACCTGGGACCCCCACAAACATCCTCTGATTTTATTTACCAGCATGTTCCATCTGACACTTTTAAAGCTCATTAATAAAAGTTCTGAGACAGTGGATCCACTCCACTGAGCTCACATATGTTTCCAGATACTGCAGAAAACCTCCCCAGGATAGTACCGGTAGCATGTTTAAAGTTCCTTCTTTTTTTGGTACGAATAATAGTTAACACTTACCTTGTATCAACATTTCTAAAAAAGCTGCACAGAGCTTCATCGTAAATTCCTTTCTGAAAAACCAAAAACATTTTGTATCAGGTTATAAAACAATAAAATATATAAATTAGTTTTACTTTTTCTTATTAGGGGAACCTGATCACAAAACAGCACCGTACCTGTGTTAGCCTTCAAATCAATCCCAGTGTTAGCCTTAAGACTGATCTCTATGGAGCTCTTTAATATATGTGCACCCACGCTTACCATTTACCTCAGTTCCCTTCTTGTAAAAAAACTCACAAATACCTGTTGATCCTGCCATTGAAGTCCACCTCATGCAGCTTTCAATGACAAGGGAACAACACTGCTGAACCGCTACTAGATTCAAAGCAGCATTGTCCCTCACGTAGGCTGTGGCTGCTTGCACGACAGTGAGATGAAGAAATGTTCCAGGGGGTGTGGCTATCAGCACTGTCACTGCTGATTCATCTGACTAAACAATTAATTTTTTTTGTATCTATTCAGGCCGGCTGTGGTTGTTAATAGGATTAAAAGAGATTGTAGAATCAAGCTGCAATGTGTGTAGCACGCTTTAGAGGTTAGGCCCACGTAGTACACTCCAGTTTACATCATCTCCGTCATGCCATTCAACTGTCAAATGCCACTCAGCAACCTACTTCCTGAAGCTCTGACATTTGAAGGATTAATGACAGGGGGTGAACCTGAAATTCTAATTAAATAACCAGCTTAAATCCCGACAAGTAGAAAAGTCAATGACCTACGAAGGTGACACCATATGATCCCTACCGTTATCTAATTTCCTGAAGGGCATTTAGCGCTGTACACTTCATTACACCAATGACCTGTATACAGCCTGTATCTAAAATCTAAGGGGCTCCACAGGGATTAACTTGAGGGATAAAAGCAGCTATTTGCAGACACCACATGGTGCCTGCATTGTAGTACTCGGACACATTTTGCTCCAGGAACATTTGGATGGCATAATGTGGAGCTCAGCATGTATTCCAAGCATTGACCTTGAGAAGAAATATGCATTAAAAGGAGAATTATGGGGTGAGTGAATAACACGCATCCCCATAATTCAGGCTGACCTGTGACACTGAGGCTGTAACAGGTCGACTCTATTGATCAGGAAGTCAGCAAACACACAAAGCCGATTGCTGACTTCCCGATCCTCTCCCTGCAGAGAGCGGTGACTGTCAGTCACCGCTCCCCGCAGTTATTCCCCTCTCCGTTTCTCCAGCGCTGACTGGAGGAACGGACAGTATTGTCAGAATCCATCCCAGCTGCGGCACGGCTCTGTGCTCTCAGCATATAGCGGGCATTATCCCGCTGTATACTGGGTTTTGGGTCAGCAGAGAACATTTGTATATGTCCTCCTGAAGAGAACTATGACCAAAAAAAGTTAGGCGAAAGTTCCCTTTTAAGCCAAAAAGCTTAACACAACACACAGGCATGCTCTATTTGCTTTGTTCTGGGTTAAACTGAAGATGAGCTGCAACTGATGTTGTCCTTGCCTTCTCTGGATTGGTACCACTACGCAGGACAGGTCTAAAGTGCCAGTCAGTGTAGGAACTTTAAACATAATTGCCAGCTTGGATTTAAAAAAACAAAACAGCAAAGTTTAATTTAATTCAAAGTTAAAGTTAATTCTACCTTGTTAACTGCTGCATGTTCTCTCAAGGCAAGGTCCCAGAACCGGCACCCGATCTGATTTCCACACTGTCCAACTACACAAGAAAACAAGAACATTAAACATCATAAACATTACCAGAATTGCTCTGTTGCATTGATCATAAATTGCAAAGTAACATGTCTCCATTCACATTAGACCTTCTCTCCAAAGGAGCTCACTATTTAATGTCCCTAGAATCTAGAAGAAAGGAAGCTAAATGCCTACCAATGTGATTTTGGATTACAAGAGGGAATCCGCAGGATGAATATAACAACTAGGTCTGGACAAATCCCAGGACCAGGTGCTCCTTAAAAACTACATCTGGCACCTAACTTTTGAGGTTTTCTATAGTTGTTGTCAGTTGAGCTGGATTGGGAAGACTGGACCCTGAAATGTATTAATTTGTCCACCTCTGATGTAAACTCCATGCAAGTAGTGCCCCCCACAGAATTTGAACCCCACAATCTTAGCACCTGCACTGCCCTTCCTAATATTTATTGGTTACACTAACTAAAAGCAAAGTCCGTATTTCTGGGGGGCTCAGCAGGTCTGTTACACGTACATTTAGGCACCTGTAGCTGTCAGCTATCTGGAAATATATTTAAATGTTGGTACAGTTTTCCTTTATATAAAAAAATAGTGCTACCTTTTTTACCTTAAGGTGCCCACACCTTGCGATAAGCGTACCATAATCCCGCAATCGTACAATTATCGCAAGGTGTGTTGAAGGTGTGCGCCCGTTTCTACTGTACGGTCGCACGACTTTTGTCTTTCAAGCATGTTCGAAAACCAGCCGAGAATCGTACGATTTTGTAGCATGATCATAAGATAAATGCCGCACGGGCCGGTGTGCGCAGACGTCAACACTGCCTGTTCGTCATTGCGGTCATCGGAAGCCCGGCCCTCAGCGGGGCGGGCTTGCGATTATCGCAAGTACGAAAGTACGATCTGCCTGTCGAAGATGGGCAGATCGTACGTTTTTTAGATTACCTTACAACCATCGCAAGACAACAGTCTTGCAATGATTGTAAAGTGTGTGGCCAGCTTAACACTTCACTATAATCAACAGGACAGCACATACCCTGGCTACAGAATGTTTCTTGTGGGCACTGGTGATGTCAGTGGGCCTCCCCGGGAATTCTGAAAAAGAGGAGTATTCCAGATCTCACAAAAAGATGCTCAAGCACTGTAGGAGTTTTTTTTTAGGGATGCACCATGTGCCATTTTTCTGCCGATACAGCGGCGCATCCCTGCTTTCTTTCCTCCCCGCTGGGCGCTGCTCTGTGTCCCAGCGGGGAGGACAGAAAGTGTGACAGCCGGACGAGCGCTGCGAGCGGCCGGTGTCTCTCCTCCCACACAGGTCAGCCTCTTATCACAGGCCGGCAGAGCGGTGTGGGGGCGGAGACAGGCCGCGCTATCACAGGAGGCTGAGCTCTCCTCCCTGCACCGCCCCGCCTTCTGTGACAGCTGTCAGGAAGGAGAGCGAGTGCAAACACTCAGTGATCGCTGAGTGTTCATACATAATTGAGGACATTTTATATTTACTGTAGCCTTAAAATTTGAAAAAATTAAAATAAAAAACATTTTCGGTTTTGGTCTGACAATTTTTTTTTTTATTTCGGATTTGTAATTTGCATTTCGGTGCACCTCTAATTTTTTTCTTTTGGCCAATGACAAGCAATATCTCCTGTGACATTATTGGCTCTTGTCTTCCTCCAAGCTTCCTTCTCTCTGTCTATTGTTTGCTTTTGTAGCTGCATTGCAATCTTGCCATGGCCGCTATGCCAAGGTTTATGGAAACAGCCGCAATTTTGATGGCAGAAGAGGAAGTGAAGATACTGGATCCATTTGGTGCATTTTGATACCATTCCATTAAAGTCACACCAATAGAAGAATAGGCAGCATTTTCAAAAACAGACACAAAGAAAATCACATAGATTTGAACAGGCACCATAGGAAACGATGGGATTGCTCTTGCTGTATGACAACGGACAACAGATGAAAGATTGCGCAGGTATGAACAAGGTGTTGAGGTTGGCTGTTCATAAATCAGTTTACTAAGACAGCCCAGTGTCACTGCATCCCGGATATAGGGATGATTGACTGTACACACACTAATCAATAACAACTCCATTCAAACTTGTAGAACTCCTCCATCCCAGCATCCAGTTAGACATTTCAGCAAAGTTTTAGAATGGCCCCAGCCGACTGACAGACACACAAACAACTAAAGAAGACATTTATCATCTCCAGTCTTTCCATTATTCCTCACCTTGTACCACTATAGACTGTGTCATGGCTCTCCCGCACTGACAGCAACAGTTACCGCTCGCAGGACCTGCCTGCAGTAGGACCTTTCGTTTCTGTTGCTTATACACGGCGGAGCGGTATATACAAAGCACACGTTTTTCCGCGCTCCCTGGCGGCGGCATAGCAACGGCCGGAAGTAATGTGTTCCTACAACGACCATTTTACTGTAGTCCCTGCAACACGCTACAGACTATTCTTCATGTAAAGATATGGCTGCCGACGAAGGAGCAGGGATGTTTTTTTTTTAATTGTCTCTGCATTGTATGACTGACGCTTCCCATTTAATGATATTATCTTATAAAGAAAATAGCATAGCCGTTTTCTCTGCAGGGTTTATTCTTCAGAGGGATCGTCATTAGTTGGTTCCTGGAACTGCTCCTTAAATATTCTATTACTTTATAAGCTTTTGCTTATGTGGTCCAAGGCAGTGCGTTCTGAATAAATACGTTGTGTTTGTGGTGTCAGTTTGATGGTGGTTGAATGGTTCTCCTGCACTCACCTTCCCATACAGTGAGCACGTAAACCTTTTCCTATTCCTTCCCATTAACCCATCACAACTCAGCATCACCCATCTGCAGGGACCACAATGCCACAACAGTTCTGCAGGACCCCTCCCTACCCCTATACAGTACTGCAGGACCCTCCATTCTCATTAGGGTTGCCACCTTTTCTTTCACCAAAACCCGAACACTCTAGCGACACACGGATATTTTTTTGGGAGAAGGATTCGTGGTTTATTCATATGTATATAGCGTCACCCATTCATATGTAAATATCACAGTAGAGACTATTTCCAGTGGGGGGCCAGTAGCCCCTATCTTAATTTTGGTTGCCCCTGTCTGCCTGACATCTTGTGTTCGGGTTTCTGCTGCCGTGAAACCCGGACACAGCATTCAAAACCCGATTTCGTTTCTGTTGCTTATACACGGCGGAGCGGTATATACAAAGCACACGTTTTTCCGCGCTCCCTGGCGGCGGCATAGCAACGGCCGGAAGTAATGTGTTCCTACAACGACCATTTTACTGTAGTCCCTGCAACACGCTACAGACTATTCTTCATGTAAAGATATGGCTGCCGACGAAGGAGCAGGGATGTTTTTTTTTTAATTGTCTCTGCATTGTATGACTGACGCTTCCCATTTAATGATATTATCTTATAAAGAAAATAGCATAGCCGTTTTCTCTGCAGGGTTTATTCTTCAGAGGGATCGTCATTAGTTGGTTCCTGGAACTGCTCCTTAAATATTCTATTACTTTATAAGCTTTTGCTTATGTGGTCCAAGGCAGTGCGTTCTGAATAAATACGTTGTGTTTGTGGTGTCAGTTTGATGGTGGTTGAATGGTTCTCCTGCACTCACCTTCCCATACAGTGAGCACGTAAACCTTTTCCTATTCCTTCCCATTAACCCATCACAACTCAGCATCACCCATCTGCAGGGACCACAATGCCACAACAGTTCTGCAGGACCCCTCCCTACCCCTATACAGTACTGCAGGACCCTCCATTCTCATTAGGGTTGCCACCTTTTCTTTCACCAAAACCCGAACACTCTAGCGACACACGGATATTTTTTTGGGAGAAGGATTCGTGGTTTATTCATATGTATATAGCGTCACCCATTCATATGTAAATATCACAGTAGAGACTATTTCCAGTGGGGGGCCAGTAGCCCCTATCTTAATTTTGGTTGCCCCTGTCTGCCTGACATCTTGTGTTCGGGTTTCTGCTGCCGTGAAACCCGGACACAGCATTCAAAACCCGAACTGTCCGGGTGAATCCTGGACAGGTGGCAACCCTAATTCTCATACACATTTGTGCAGGAACCGCTCTCCCCTCCTTTGTCATCCAAGTGTCTGCATACCCCCCCACCTGTCTTTCCATAGAGTTAACTGCACCTTACCCCCACCCTCCACTTCCCACACACCTACCACTGCTCTGCAGACTCCACTTTCCTTCCCATACAGGCCCCCCTCCCCTTCATATGTAGCCACCAAGTTCTGCTAACCCCACTTTCCTTCCCATACAGTAATCCTTCCTTTCCTTTCCATCCACAGTTCTGTAGACCCTTCCCATTCCCATCCACAGTTCTGCAGGGCCCCCCTTCCCATGCAGTTCTGCAACCCTCCCGCTTCCCGTCCACAATTCTACGGGACCCCCCTTTCCATCCAAAGTTCTGTAGACCCTCCCATCCACAGTTCTGCTCTGCAGGACCCCCGCCACCCATCCTTTCCTTTCCATCCACAGTTCTGTAGACCCTTCCCATTCCCATCCACAGTTCTGCTGGACCCCCATCACATGCACAGTTCTGCAACCCTCCCCCGTCCACAATTCTACGGGACCCCCTTTCCACCCAAAGTTCTGTAGACCCTCCCATCCTTCCAGATCCTTTAGGTCTAGTAGGAATTTTAGGGGGGATTCCAATGCCAAAGATCCAAAAAAAAAGCTTTGGGTCCTCCCTAAAATTCCTTACCAGACCCTTGATCCGAGCAGCAGCCTAGTAGGGCAGGAAAGGGGGGGCAAGCGAGTGCCACCGCCCCTTGCACCATATCAAGTCACAAACCCTCGGCATTGAGAGGGTGCTTTTCCAGGGGTGACCTGGAGGGCAATCCCGAGGGCATGTGGCCTGGTATGGTGCAGGAGGGTTTGGGGCGTACACTCGCCCCCCCCTTTCTTTCCTTGCCAGGCTGCTGCTTGGATCAAGTGTCTGGTTGAAATTTTAGACCTAATAGGGCTGGTATGAATTCCTGGGGCGAACTGCACGCTGTTTTTTAGAAAAATTGTTTCTGCGGACTGTCAAAAGTTAAAAAGAAACAAAGTAAACATTTACTAAATGTTATTATTAATAAAAAACAGCATGCAGCTCCCCCCGAATTTATACCAGGAGCAAGCCATGACATTGCGGGACTTCTGCCCATTTGTTTACATTCGGGAGCACAGAGTCAAAGCTGTCATTTTGCGGATGGTATTCATCGGAAGTAGACGGGTGCGCACCGCGTTGGTTTTTTTCATCGTGATTGATTTAGATCTTCATCGCCGGATGACGTGATTGAACATTTATTACATTGAAGGACATTTTTTTTTTTTTTATATAAAGGACTTGTCAAAAACTTGCTTTGCGTTTTATTTTCAAATAAAGGACTTTTTCTAAGGTGTGTTTGTTTAGATTTCTATATGCCCCCCTGCCTGCAGACCTCCACAACCACCGGGTCAGATTGTGGGGAAGAGGCCCTTGTTCTCACCAACATGTGGACAAGGCGCTTTATGGGATCCTAGGAGGGACTGCACTTTTTTTTGGTTATTTTTGGCATTGGGGTCCACCTTAAAATTCCTACCAGACCTAAAGGGTCTAGTATGACTTTGGAGGGAATCCCATGTTTTTTTTGGCATTGGGAGTCCCCCGTAACATTTTGTCCACAGAAACAATAATGAAAAAAAATTAAAAACAGTGTGCAGTTCTCCCCAGCAATTCATACCATTTAGGTCTGATAGGAACTTTAAGGGGGATCCCAATGCCAAAAAAAAAAAAAAAAAGTAGGGTTCCCACTAAATTCCCTTGCCAGACCCTTGTGGGGAGGACAGAAGCTTGTAACTTTTTATTATAAACAAGAAGGGTCAGTTACATGATGTGAGGGTGGCTTTTGGCTGCTCCTAGTATCCTGATGGGCTAGGCCACTGCTAATGTTGGTTATGCAGAAGTATGGCCCAGTGTACAGAACAAAGAGAGGAGGCGGAAGGATGGAGACGGGTCATTCCTCTAATCATTCAACTATGTATGTAATTCGAGTCTGAGCTATAGAGGTCTGTAAACAATAGTCTTTTTTCAGCATAGCAGTTAAGGATAGCCTGATAAAGGTGAAATTGTGCCACCTCATGGATGGAACTCATGAATCTGTTCATTTGAGGATAGTGTAAAAGAAATAAACCGAACCACTAGAAGCCAGCCTAAAGAATATTTTTCCTTTACTGGCTTAAGTAAGCACCTAGGTAAGGAAAACACAGAGTACTATCTGCAAGGGCTCTGAGGGCTTCACAATTAATGCCAAAGGACTGCGTGCAGCACATGACCACAGGTTGGGCAAAAGGGATAAAGATGGCTAAGACAAGGCAGGGGTCTGTCTGTGCATTTAAAGAAAAAGCTAAGCAGCAGCTGGGATAGCCATTAACTCTGACTGTTTGGGTCAACAATTGACATAAGTAACTCCTGGAGTTTTTAGTGGCCTCACTGTTGTGAACTGCTGAGACTAGGTAGTTCCAACCTTGCTGAATCGTCTCTGCTGTAGTGATTCTACAGAAATGTCCCTGCTGTAATGTATTGCTGCCACTTTGATTCTGATGGACTGTTGCAGTAACATTGCCACCATGTAATGCTGCTAATTTTCTCTGTCTGTACCCAGATTTGCTTTGGACTCACCCCTTTTTCTGTACCATATTGCTGTCTTGTGATTCTGTGATTTGTCCCCGGATGTACCTTGGACTGCTACCAATTAATCTAACCCTTTTGTTCTACCTGTGATACTTGCTGATTGTCCACTGCCATACCCTGGATTGCTACCACTGTATTTAACCCTTTTGCTGTACCATATTTCTGACCTGTGATCCCTGCTGATTGTCCCTGACCTTGTCATACTGTTGTCCTGTGCCTTTCCAGGCCTAACACCTGTTCCACTCCATTGCTTCTGTATGTAAACACCACACATATCAGACCCTGGATTCACCTCAGTGTGTTCTCTGTTTCAGCTACTAGTTCATCAAAGTAGTGTTCCCCAGTTCACCACAGTAAAAAGAACAACTGCACCCTTTCCATTATGATTCAGCTGAGAGGGTGCTTCCCCATCCAGGTTAGGTGGTCACTGGTCATGGGTAAGTAGCAGAAATATTTTATGTAAAAAAAAAAAAAAAAAGAAGCTCAGTTGGGACAAACATATTGTTTTGGCATTTTATTTATCTAGTCCTTGTGTGGACCAGCCTTTCTCAACCTTGGGTGGCTTCACATTCTCGCACAGTATCTGTCAGGATCCAGAGCACCCC